ATGGCGCTATTGCTAAAAATATATTAAAATGTTCAAATATTACTATAATTAACGTATTTTTAAATGAAGCAAATATTTTTATTAAGACAATTTTGGAATATTTACAATCAAGATTTGATTTTAATAACTCTATTTACAAGTGTATAAATATTATGACCTTGGAACAAAAAATAGACATTGAAGCCTTGTTTGAAGAGATTGTAATTTTTTCCATTTTTTATGATTCGCCAGAATACTTAAAGTTAGATGGTCTAAAAGCAGAGGAGAGATGGGTGGAATTTTTTCGTAATAACGATAAATCCCCATGCTTAGAAAAAATTTTCCATTATGTTTTCTCCTTACCTCATTCTAATGCCTCATCGGAGCGCATTTTTAGACTTATGAGGACTCTGCCTGGAGAAAGGAGAGAAATCGAATTGCTTTAACAACATTAGAGGCCGAGTTAATGGTTAAACAAAATTATAAAATGTCATGCCAGGATTTTTATAAATATCTTAATAAAGACGGTAAACGTTTAGTTCCATTATTTAAATCTCATATAAAATATAATTAACTATAACTATTTGACTTTCTATATTTTATAAAATCTTATTTATACATTTGCATAAAATCAAATAAATTTATTTTTTACATTGTAAAATTAATATTTTGAATATTTTGGCAAATCATAAAAATAAAGAAGCATTACAATCTCCTCAAACATGACATCATATTAAATCTTATTAATAATTATCCGATAATAGTAATATTCTTACTTTGGTATTTCTGCAGCATAATTTAGTGAGCCTTTATTAAATTATATTCTTCTGATTGCAACTGCATATTAACAGCATATAGTAGATTTCCTATATGTAAAATTCTTAAATATACTTCTGCCATTTATTTTTGAAAATTTTTTTCAAATAGGACAGGTTTTATAATCTATTTATTTTTTAAAGGTTTGTAAAATTTTAAAATTCTACGATGGCGCGTAGTATTAGGAGAAACCTGTCAACCAACTGCTGACTCAATTCTGTAAATACACTCTGGTTTTTGCCAAATTCACTGAGGAATTATCAGATCAGAAAGCTGCCATGCAATTCATTGGTAATGCCAAATCTGCCATATTTACCATTATATATGGTTAGCTATGTCTTTGGATATTTCATATCTGGAGAAAAATTTTTTAATAGTTTTATTGAAATGACATTAATTTTGTTGAAATAAGGGGAGGATCAAGGGAAATGTTTTGATAACACCTTATTAGATGCATCTGTTATAATTGCATATGTTTGCACATCTTTCAAATCGTCAAGAATTGACCTTCTGGATTTATATCCTAAAACATTGTTGATAGCCTTGCTCATTTTGTGTTCTACAAAGTATACTTTTCATTTATATTAGTCGTTAAATATTATGGGGAAAGATTCTACCAACATTGAGATGTTGAGTAACTTTCTGAATGTTGTACTGCATGATAGGTATTTACCATTTCCGCAACTGTAGTTGCATCTATATTATTTCTTATTTTTGAAGAATATTTTTGTTTTGCAATAGATGTTGATAGAATGCCCTGTACTGATTTATGCTTTGAAGATTTTTGATACCTCAAAATATCATATTCCCTTCCCCCATTGTATTAACTAAATACTGTAGAACAACTTCCCTGCACTGATTATAAATATTTTTTACATTGTAAATTTAAAATTGTTTGTTTTTTTATAAAATCTTATTTATACATTTATTTTTTTACATTGTAAAATTACAATTTTTTTATAAAATTTTATCTTGTTTACATTCTTTTGTATTTAAAAAAGATCGTTGGTTATTATTTTTAAACAAAATTAATATATTATAATAAATCAATATGTTATTTTAATAATAAAGATAGTACTCTAAGAAATTTTGTGTCGTACAGTAATTACCTATTTTGAAAAATAGTTGCGTATTTTATTTTGGAAAATAGTTACCTATTTTATTTTGAAAAAGAGTTGGATATTTTACTTTGAAAAATAGTTGGCTATTTTATTTTGAAAAATAGTTGGCTATTTTATTTTGAAAAAGAGTTGAATATTTTATTTTGAAAAATAGTTGGCTATTTTATTTTGAAAAATAGTTGGCTATTTTATTTTAGTTGGATATTTTATTTTGAAAAATAGTTGGCTATTTTATTTTGAAAAATAGTTGGCTATTTTGTTTTGAAAAATAGTTGGCTATTTTATTTTGAAAAATAGTTGGCTATTTTATTTGGAACAAAAGTTAGCTATTTTATTTTGAAAAAAGTTAGCTATTTTATTTTGAAAAAAGTTGGCTATTTTATTTTGAAAAATAATTACCTATTTTATTTTGAAAATAGATTAGATTTTATATTTATAAAAAATAATAAGCGGATAACTAAGTCAATTCTAAATCCCGAAAATTTTTTTTAGCAATTTCTCCCACAATTTTTATATTTCTCCCACAAAATACCTAATTTCTCCCACAATTTGAAAATTTTGACCTGGCAACCCTGCTCCCGAGGCGATTTTATAACAAAAATAAAAACATAAAATTATATATATAATATTTCATAATATAGTTTTTAACATATATCAGACCTGCAGAGATACGATTAGCATTAAAAAATAAAATCATCCTCTTTTAATTAAATCTATTAACCTTATCCCTATACTTTTTTAGACATCCACTTTTTAAAATCACTTATTAAAATTGTTGCAAATGAAATTATATCTTTGCATTTCCTTAATAAGCCTAAAATAAACTCAGGTAAAGCATTAATAAAATTTATTTTAAGCTGATAAAAAATTTCTAAACAATCCCTCCCTTCGCAACCTCTTCTCTCAAAAATGTTTGAAGAATTTGTAATTTTTGAAATAATAACCATAATTTAAAATTTGTAGAAAAAAGCATTTATATAAAAGATAAAATCAAAAATACTCACATCATCGACTCGCTGGGTCAGCTTAATTTTTTAAATTTATTTATCTTATCTATCACATTGGTCATATACCTGCCGAAAGTGAACGAATGTGTATTATAAAGGAGGCCCACCCTCCCTATAATTTTGCTAATTTTTTTTCTCAAGCTATCAACAAACCTTGTAATACAGATGTATATTTATCAAAATGAGTGAAATTACGCCCTATCCAATTTGTAGTTTTAGAGTGATGTAGGAGAAAAGGGTAAAAAAAAGAAAAACCTAGTTAAAAAATTTTTACCGTTTAGGTATTGTATTTTGTAAACATTAAATTTAACTTCACTTTATCGGAAAATTTATAGTTTTATTTGCTTCTCAGTTTATTTCTAACTAATAATCAAATTTATATCTCTCTTTATCATACTTTATAAAATAACATAAACAAAATTATATCGGTATGAGGAAAACTTAACATTAATTTACAAACTAACAGTTAATAGAGTATTAGATATCTTTTCTTAAAATATTTTCCTCTTAGCAGTCATCATTCATTTAGAAAACTAGATATCATTTATTATAAAACTAAAAGTCAATATAATATTAGAGATATTTTCTTAAAAATAAATGATTTATTTTCAAAAAAAATAATAATGCCGACTGGCTGGTATCACCAAATTTTATTTTAAAATTTTTTTTATTTATTTGTTATAAAATATCTATAAATAAATAGGGTTGTAATAAATGCCAAAAAAATATAAATCATAAACCATATATATTAATCTTAGAGAAAAATCTTTTTAATTTGTATTTTTATAATTTCTTATACAATTTAACTATGATAATCTAATAGATATTTTTATAAAACTTAGTAAATATAAATTAAACAAATTAATTAATTTTATTATATAAATAAATAAGATAAAACAAACTAAACATGCGCAAATACAAAGAGGAATAAAATAACACATAAATATAATAAAATTCATACTATTTATGTTTAAAGAGATGTAGAAAGGAAAACGAAATTATTTTCTAATATTTCAGGATTTAATTTAGTTCTCTGCGCAGAGAGTATAAACTTAAGGTTAGAAAATGCTCTTTCTACGGATACCTCTGGAACTGCTAGGACAGGTATAGCTAAATTATAAATTTCTGGCATAATATTCTTTACAGTTTCCCAATAATTCAAAAGATTAGTATTTTTTTCTAATCTATATTTCAAATGACCGAATTAGGGGAGACCGGGGATGGTTGGGACATTTTTCTTTCAAACCTTAATAATTTTTATATTAATAAACTAATCTGAATAAGTGAAAAATCTTCTGAATCCCAAAAGTATAAGCTATTTGAAATAATTATCAGGGATCCAAACCTAACCGTTAAACCGCTAAAAACCGGTATTTTTTATCGAACCTAAACCGCTAAAAAAATTCCAGCCGAACCTGAACCGAACCGCTAAAATGCCTCTGAACCGGTTCGGGTCTCATGATTTTATGCTTATAAAATAATATGTAAGTTATTATTAGATTTCAATTATATTCGAATTATTTTAAAGATTATCATCAATCACATTTGATTGCTAAGTGTCGGTCATAATTTTTATAAACTTTAGTATAACGTCATTTTACAACATTTTTTAAATATTTTAAGCTATAAATTATCATGTTTAGAGAATATTCAAGAAATGAACGTTTTCCTATCTTTATAACGTTAATTTGGTATCAACTTTCATATCTTAATAACGTTAATTTTTATTTTTTCTATCAACTTTCCTATCTTCTTAATGTTAAATAAATCGAGGGCTTTTATTATCTCGGTAATGTTAAATTTTTTTAAAAAAAATTTTTTTCTTACTAGGGGATTCGAACTCGCACCTTAATTTCAAAGGCAAACGTTCTTACGGTTCAGCTCCTTTAAGCTTTATATTTTGTTATAAAAATCTTTATTTGATTTTTTAAAATTAACTAAATTTAATCATTATTTATTATTTTTCATTGGATTATTAAGCTCTAATACTATTGGTTTAAATTTATTTTCTTTATTTTTTATTGGCTAAGGTAAATTATTTTTAATTATTCGATTTTTAATTAATTTATAACGACCATTTTATTTTTTAAATTTTTTAAAAATGGAATATTAAAAATAGCTAACCATTTTCAACCACAAGTTTAATTTTTATTTAATATATTTTAACTATTTTAAGGAAACATTTAAATCAATGGTAGTTGTTAACAGTTATTTCAGGTAATCATTATTTTTTTTTAAATATTTTAAGAATAATCTTTTAGAGGATGGGGAATGAGAATTTTCTCATTACTTTTATGGTCGTTGTTACCAGTTATTTCAAAATAATATCCAATTTTTATTCCATATAATCCCCTTCTCTCTTCAGGCCAGGTCCGATCCATTAAATGTAATGCTTTGCTTTAAGCTAAAATATATTTAATACAAAAAATTCCCAAGCAAGGTCCAAGGCCATAATAATTTTGAAAAAAAACCCCCAAGCCCAACCAACGATATGAAAATTTTGATAGTTGAGAACTGTAATAAAATATTTAAAAAATCTTAATGAATTTAAAAATACAATCAAAATCAGATTTTCGTGGGCCTTGATTTTTTTGATCAGGCTAGCCCAGGCCTTAGAAAAATTTGTTTTAAGTCAATGTCTGACCCATAGTTAATAAAAAAAATTCCCAAACGTCCAAGCTGAATTTCCAAAGCTCAGCCAACCTATTAAGACTAAATGCATTTTTTGAGTAAAAAAATATTTTAATTGACTTTTACCAGAGTTCCCTATAAATATTCTGTGTTAAATATTATGATAACCCTCTTCTCTCTTTGGGCCAGGTCTAATCCATTAAATGTAATGCTATGCTTTAAGTTAAAATATATTTAAAGCTATTAAGACTAAATGCTATTTTTTGAGTAAAAATATATACAGATTAGCTTTTAGCAGAGGATGGGGAATGAGAATTTTCTCATTACTTTTATGGTAGTTGTTACCATTTATTTCAACATAATATCCCATTTTTTAAAAATATATTTAAAGCTTTTACTTGATACAAAAAATTTCCCAAGCAATGTCCAAGGCCATAATAATTTTGAAAAAAATCCCCCAAGGCCAACTAACGATATGAAAATTTTGGTAGTTGAGAAGTGGAATAAAATATTTAAAATATCTTACTGAATTTAAAAATACAATCAAATTCAGATTTCCATGGGCCTTGATTTTTTGATCAGGCTAGCCCAGGTCTGACCATTACAAATTATATTATTAAGAAAACGTTTTACAAATTTAATAAGTATTTTAAATGTAAAAAATTTCTTCAATAGTTATATTAAATACTTATTACGAATATATTACATATCTATATGTGAAATTATAATAAATTTTAGTTAATAATTAAAAATTATATTATTAAGAAAGCATTTTAGAAATTTAATAAATATTTTAAATGGCAATAAAACATCGTTATATTAAATACTTAGTACAAATTTATATCTTACAAATTATTATTAAACAGACACTACAAATTTAGTTCAAATACTTAATTTTCCTATACTTAAGTAATTTATTTATGTTTTTTGCTACGGTTTGGATCTTCATTTTTTAAATATAACATTAATAGCCATTTTTGGGATTTTTACTGGTAACAAAATTGGGAACATCCCTTTTTTGGCGATTTATCGTTTAGCGATTTAAAACCGATACCGGCACGCGGCGTTAATTCCGCGCTTATAGTATATGGTTGTAAATTATTATAAAAAAATTTTTCACATTTTTGTCCCTTTTTCCTATATTTCTACCTTTTTTTATTCATTCTTTGCTCATCTCTTTGCTCCCCTAAAACCCATTTCCACCTTCACACGGTGGGGAGCGAACAGCAATGCTGACTAACAGGAGCTCTGGTGTTATTAGTTATTATTATGCCCTTCGAGAAAGGCGGGTAATAATATTTTTCCCAATATTTAAATCAGAAATTAAGAATATTTTATGAGGTATGATTTACAAATTTACCTCTTTTTCTACTAAATTTTAATATAATATAAGGTACAATTTTAATATCCAATATTTAAGAACATTAATTCCCGTCATTCTTGACGGGCTATCAACTAGTATTAATATAAATGACATATCAAATTTGATATCATATTGGCAGTGCCGGCTACTCAAGTAAGTGTGGAAAGATGTTTCAACAATTAAATTGCTATCTCATTATAGATGTAATTTGAGTAAGCCGAGTTTTGAAAATATATTAATTGTGAGGCTTAATAAAAAAAATTTAAGTAAAAAAAAGGAAAATATTGTTCATATTAAAATTAATCATTGATATATATTCTTATTTTTATTTTTATATTCATAAATTAAATATTATTTTATAATGTGCAATTAATAAAAATGAAGGTTTTATATATGTGTTTTTTAAATTAATGATAAAATAAAAAAATAATTTCCCTATACATAATTGGAATGTAGGTTTGAATACAAAAGTGGCAAACCGGTTTTTAGAGGTTCGAACCGTACCTATATTTTAATTTTTTACGAACCGAACCTGAACCTCGAACCGTTATTTTTATCCGAACCTGAACCCGAACCGAACTGATATTCGTTTCGGTTTGGATCCCTGATAATTATATATTTTATAAAGAAAATATTTTTTTAGAAAATTGGATTTAAAAGATTTTTTTGTCCTAACTCCTAACCATGACAGACTATGTGTACATGGGACACACATATGTGATAGTTAGGAAAATCATGAAATAGAGGTCTAATTTATAAATCAGCAATCCAGTAAGAATAGAGACTAACACATTGGATTTTAATAATAATATTGTAATTCATAACCAATAACTATATTTAAAATTTTTTAGCAAAATTTATGAAAATGATCAAATGGCGAGTCTCAACTATACTATGACCAACTATGATCGAGTCCACTAACTTTATATATATAATTCAAAATCATATTAATTCATTTTTATTGATTCTGAAAGTTTGTCAGACTGAAAAATAGAGTTTAAACTTTCCTATCTATATTAAAATTTTTAAAGCTCTATTTATAAATATAAAGTTTGCAAATATTTGGTATGCCAAAACACATTTTCTTCTGTAAAAATTAAAATAAGATGTTTTTTGGTGATCTCTTTTTCTTCAAATGTTGAAAATGCATTATATATCAGGCCGAGATATATGGCTGAGTAAAAAATGTCATTTTTCAAATTTATTTCATCCACGCGGCATAAAAATCGCCCATTGTCAATTGTTCACTTTGTATATATTTTGTCAAAATATAATTCGGATAAAAAGCTTTTAATATATCAGTAATTATTTTCCATTCATTTCTGATAGACATTTTTCTCTATCATTGCTTTTAAGCGGTATTTCTTGGCAAAAGTTTTTTAACTCTACTAATCTCTCCAACATAAATAGATTAAGTTCCATCTTATGCAATAATCTATCAGTGGTTTTTTCAAATTTAATTTGGACAGAATAGCCATTGTATTGATATGCAGATAATATAAAAAAATTTAATTTGAAAAGAAATACAAATTAAAAATTGCCCCCAAGGAAAATTAAAATTTTAAATTTAGGTTAATAATTTAAAATTAATTAATATTTAAAACCGTTTTGAACCGGTTTTAAATATTTATAATGGTTCGCTCTTTTTATACTTTCTTTATAACGGTTCAGTTACAGCTAGGGCCAGAAAATTATAACGGTACATTCCAGTTTGACGGTTCGGTTTGGTTTGAAACCCTGCTTATTATATATTTTGCTTTTGAAAATTTTTACATAAAATATAAAAGAGCCTACTTGCGATAAATAAATAATTTTTATAAATTAAAAATAGAGATATTATATTTTCCAAAAAGAAAGGGGGAGGGGTTCATAAATAAAAAAAATTTAATTCCTAATTAGTAACGTCTTTTAAGATCTAAATGTTTCAAATTTTCCCTATAATATTATTCTTAAGCACGAATATTATACTTTTAGATAAGTCATCCATACAATTACCAAAGGAAAAAAAAAATCAATTTATGAATATAATAATTTGTAAGTCAGTACCTAACAGATATAGGATAGGGGAACCAATCATTGTTATTTTATGATGTAACTTATTATGAATGAATAATGGTCGTCCGAGAATTGTATGTATGAAATTTAGATACAATATTATTATGAATGAATAGAATATATAAATTGTCGTATTATGACAGAATCAACTTTATTATATTGTAATTAATAATAACATAATAAATGCTTGTAAAACTCACAAATTATAAAAAATAGTTCAAAATTTGCTAAAAATTATTTCCATGATCTTAAATCATATAATAATTATAATCTTGTGTTTCAAATAAATTTTCCAAAGTTGATGTAAAAAATTTATAGTAATTACATATTACAAAATATTTTTAGCATATTTTAAAATTAATTTTAAAATGGAATCCTTGCTCAACTTTCCTCGTCTTTTCTTATAAACTGTCAGTCTCCTAAAAAGTTTCAAAGCAGTGTCAATATTTTACTAGACCCTAATGTGTGGAATATTTTTCTACCATCAAAAACTTTTACTGGGCTCAAAACAAATATATAATTTTTTTTATATTTCCAGATTTTTATGCGTGAAGTTAAAAAGTAGTGGAATTAGAAATTACTTACTGAACCCAAGGGTTTTAAAACATCTTTCTAATATCAAAATTATTTAAATAAGCTTAAAACAAAGATCTAAAATAAAATTTTTCTTCGTGGAATAAATTATAATGCCAGTGACACCATATTAATAGATCCAATGGTTTTAGAAAATCTTTATAATATCAGAAACTTTTTATTGGGTTCTAAACATAATTAAATAAAAAAATTTATATTTCTACATTTCACGCTTAGAGTTAAAAAAAATGCCACTATAAATTTATTTATAAACATAAGTTTAAAACTTCCTAAAATTAAAAACTATTAACTAGGATAAAAACACAGTTTTATAAAATTTTCGCAATTTTTTTCCTCGTGGACTAAAATATAATAACAGTGCTAATTTATTACTAAACCCAAAAGTTTTTGAACATTTTTTTAGTATATACTTTAATAAACTAAGTTTAAGACAAAATTTTAAAAAAAATTTATAATTGAGTTCCTCGTGGAGTAGGCTAATTTATTACTAGACCCAAAGGTTTTAGAACATCTAATATCACAAACAATAAACTAGGTTTATAACAACGTCTTAAAAAAAATTAGAATCTATTTTGCTCGTGGAGTAAAATATAAAAGCAGTACCAATTTATTACAAGGCACAAAGGTTTAAGAACATCTTTCTAGTATCAAAAACTTTTAACTTAGCCTAAGATAAATTTTTTAAAAAAATTGACATTTAATTTTTCCTCGTGGAGTAAAATATAATGGCAGTGAAAATTAATTACTAGACCCAAAGATTTTAGAATTCTTCTAATATTATAAACATTTAACTAGGTTGAAAAACACATCTCAAAAAAAATCATAATTTTTTTCCTCCTGGAGTTAAATATAATAGCTGTGCCAATTTATTACAAGGACCAAAGGTTTAAGAACATCTTTCTAGTATCAAAAACTTTTAACTAGGTTTAAGATAAATTTATAAAAAATTTCAACAATTAATTTTTTCCTTGTGGAGTAAAATATACTGGAGGTGCAAATTTATTACTAGACCCAAAGGTTTAATAACATCTTTCGAATATCATAAAACTAGGTTTAAAACAATGTCTTAAAATATTTCATAAATTTCTTTCCTCGTGGAGTAAAATATAACAGCAGTGCTAATTTATTACAAGACCAAAAGGTTTAGGAACATCTTTCTAGTATTAGAAATTTTAATTAGGCTTAAGATAAATTTTAAAAAATTTTCACAATTTATTTTTTTCTTGTAGAGCAAAATATAATGGCAGTGCAAATTTATTACTAGACCCAAAGGTTTTAGAACATCTTCCTATTATCATAAACATTTAACTAGGTTTAAAACAACGTCTTTGAAAAAATCGTAAATTTTTTTTCTCATGGAGTAAAATATAACAGCAGTGCTAATTTATTACAAGACCAAAAGGTTTAGGAACATCTTTCTAGTATCTAAAACTTTTAATTAATCTTAAGATATGTTTTTAAAAAATTTTATAATTTATTTTTTACTCGTAGAGCAAAATATGATAGCAGTGCCAATTTATTACAAGACCCAAAGGTTTAATAACATCCTTCTATTATCAAAGCCTTTTAACTAAGTCTAAGGTAAATTTTTAAAAAAATTTCGCACTTATTGTTTCCTCCTGGAGTAAAATATAATGGCAGTACCAATTAATTACTAGACCCAAAGGTTTTAAAACATCTTCTAATATCATAAACATTTAACTAGGTTTAAAAAAACGTGTTAAAAAATTTATAATTTTTTTCTCGTTGAGTAGAATATACTAGCAGTGCCAATTTATTACAGGACCCAAAGGTTTAAGAGCATCTTTCTATATAAAAACTTTTAACAAGGATTAAGATAAATTTTAAAAAAATTTCACAATCTTTTTTCCTTGTGGAGTAAAATATAATGGCAGTGCCAATTAATTGCTAGATCCAAAGGTTTTAGAACATCTTTCTAATATCACAATTTAAATATATAACAACGTCTTACAAAAAATACCTTAATTTCTTTCCTCGTGGAGTAAAATATAACAGCATTGCCAATTTATTACAAGACCCAAAGGTTTAAGAACATTTTTCTAGTATCAAAAACTTTTAACTAAGCTTAGGATAAATTTTTTAAAAATGTTCACAATATATTTTTTCCTTGTGGAGCAAAATATAATAGCAGTGCAAATTTATTACTAGACCTAAAGATTTTAGAACATCTTCCTAATATCATAAACATTTAACTAGGTTTAAAACAACGTCTTAGATAAAATTCGTAAATTTTCCTCGTGGAATAAAATATAATAGCAGTGCTAATTTATTACAAGACCCAAAGATTTAAGAACATCGTTCTAGTATCAAAAACTTTTAAAGACTTAAGATAAATTTTTAATAAATTTTCACATTTATATTTTCCTCGTGGAGTAATATATAATAGCAGTGCCAATTTATTATTAGAACCAAAGATTTTTGAACATTTTTTTAATATCAAAAACAATAAACCCGGATTAAAACAAACTAGTTTTATTTTCTATGCATTTTGTCGACCCAGTAAACCAACCCAGCAGGTCGACCCAGCAAGCCAACTCAGCAGGTCAACCCAAAAATTCGACCCAGCAGACCAACCCAGCAAGTCGACTTAGCAGGCCGACCCAGCCAACCAACCCAGCAGGCCAGCCCACCGAGCCGACCCGATGAGTCGGCTCATGAGACCCATTGGGTCGGGTCGGGTCTGATCTATGGCCAAATTGGTTGGCTCGGGTTTAGGGTCGTTTTTTTCGGCTCAAACCTTGCTGGGTTTTTGGCCAAGCCGACCCGGCAATTTAACAACACTAATATAATTTAACAATATGGCAATTCATAGTTTATTAATTTTAATTTAACATTATATATGGCAATCCGTCGTTTATTAATTTTAATTTAACATCATATACTGATTAGACAATTTATTTTAACATTAAATACGGCAATTCGTAGTTTAGTCATTTTAATTTAAAATTAATTACCTCAATTCGCAGTTAAGACACTTTAATTTAAGATTAATTACAGCAATTCTTAGTTTATTCATTTTAATTTAACATTGAAGATCTAAATGTTTTCCTAATTTTATCTATGATATTCATTCTTAAGTATGAATATTTGGATTTTGCATAAGTCATCCACACAATTACCAAAGAAAAAAAATCAATTAAAAATTATAATTTATAATGATGCATTAGCGGTAGAAAGTATTTAGGGGGTTTAGCAAGGCCCGCTAACACTCGCTTTAACAATCGTGATATGTAAACAAAATATTTGTAAAACTCAGAAATTATGAAAAATAATTTAAAATTTGTCAAGAATTATATCCATGATCTTCAAATAATAATTAAAATCTTGTGTTTCAAATCAAATTTGATATAAAAAATTTATAGTAGTTACATATTACTTAATATTTTTATAAGATTAGGAAAAATATATGTATCCGAATGTCTTAAATTTAAAAATGAGTTCCTTGCTCAATTTGCCCTGTATTTTCTATTATCTACCAATCCTTTAAAAAGTTTCAAATGATATACCACTAATGACATTAATACTATAGACTGCCGATCATAATGCTAAAATCAAATTTGAAGTGGCAAAAATTGAAGTGATTGGTGGCCATTTTGTGTTTGTATCTTTTACGAAAGAAGCATATGATAATTTCATAAATTTCAGGTATATTTTTATTATGTTTATATTTATAATATATATATATATTCTAATTAAACACCAATTTATTATTTACCTTATATATTATAGTATATATGAATCAAATAAAGATCACTACTGAATATTTTACTTGAAATATTTCTGCTCTTTATTAACATTTGCAATTTATTATTTAATAATGAATATCTTTTATAAGAATTCAATTTAATATTTTTTAATTACTAAAAGATTTAAAATGGTAGTATATTGCTGAGGAAGCAAAATTTCCTTTCATAAGTATGATATCTCAAATTAATTATTCAATTGTAAAAATTATTTATGGCAGATTTCCTATGAAAGATAAAATATTATTACAAAAGTGGACCCATGCTGTGAAGAGAGAGAACTTCAATGTAACAAAATATAGTAAATTATGTTCAAAGCATTTTACACCAGATTCATTTATTCCATCTGTTACAAATCATGTTCAATTAAGAGAGGGAGCAATACCATCAATTTTTAATTTTCCAAAGCATCTTCGAAAAGTAACAAAATAATGAATAATAAATTGTAACATGCAGGTTTCCTAGAAGCCAGATTAATTCAAAAATACATGAATATTTTTTTTTATAGAAATCAATTCTAGATTTCTTTTATATTTTTATAATTTATGTCTTATGTCTTTTATGTTTTATTTTTGCTTATAATTATGTTATTCCATAATAAATATAAACTATCCATTTATTTCTTTATTTAAATTTAATTCACTAAAGTATAAAAATCAATAATGTAAATATATATCATGAAAAATACAAATAATATATATTATGTTATATTTACATCAAATAAAATAATTATATTATTATAATTAATATGTATCGCGAAAAGAAAATATTAATCTTATAAATCAATAATAAATACAAATAATATATATATGTTATATTTATGTCTAATAAAATTAATTTATTATAACCAATAAAGTCATTAGAAATTTTCAGATAATTTGTTCTTCACCTATAAATATTTAAGTTAAATAACATATTTTTATATTACTTGGTTTATTGCCCTTGAAAAAGTACAGCCTTGTTTAGTTTTTGCCTGATATTTAATTGTAATTTTTGATTTACTTTATTACCATAATGATGCATTCTTATGTGAAGGTATCTAAAAATAAATTTTTATTAAAATCAAGTAAATATTGTATATACCTTTTTATTATAAGTCTTATTATAATTTGATAATGACTTAACCCTGCCTCTTGATCCATATGATCTTGCAGGTCACTAAGGATATTTGTGCCTAATATTTTTGACAATATTAGACATTCTATTTTTTTAACAGCATGTCTTTTGGTTATTTCATCTACTTTTTCAAAAGCCCTGAATGAGCTCTCTGTTATTTTGCATAAATTTGACACGCTTTGGGATGGTATTATCAATCCACCATAATTCTTAATTTTTATTAATGTATAATTATTGTCGTTTGCGGAATTAAATTAGGGAATGTAAACAGATATCACATCTAACTTTCTTTTCTTCATATTCAGTAGTGACCTTTATTTGATTCATATATACTATAATATATAAGGTAAATAATAAATTGGTGTTTAATTAGAATATATATATATATATATATTATAAATATAAACATAATAAAAATATACCTGAAATTTATGAAATTATCATATGGTTCTTTCGTAAAAGATACAAACACAAAATGGCCACCAGTCACTTCAATTTTCGCCACTTCAAATATATTAATCGGCAGTCTATAGTATTAATGTGATTGTATACCACTCATATCTAATACCAAATATTATAAACTAAGTTCAAGTTAAAAAAAAAGAATAAAATATAATAGCAGTATCAATATTAGAGGTTTAGAAATATTTTTCTAATTATAAAAACTTTTTACTAGTCTGAAAATAAGTATAATTTTTTTTCTATTTCTAGATTTTTAAGGGTGGAGTCAAAAAGTGATGAAAGAAAAAATTTCTTACTGAATCGAAATATTTTATAACATCTTTCCAATATCAAAATTTTTTAAATAGGCTTAAAACAATTTTAAATAAAATTTTCCTCATCGGAATAAAATATAATTGCAGTGACACCTCCAATGATTTCAGAAAATCTTTAAATATCCAAAACTTTTTACAAGACTTTTAACATAAATAAAATGTTTTTTTAATTTTTACATTTCAAGCGTGGTGTTAAAAAAAATGGCAATAGAAATTTCTTTATAAAAACAAAATTTTAGAACTTTATAATATTAAAAACCACTAAGATTAAAGAAAGTTTTAAAAAAACTTAAAGATGACGATTATGACAATTGTCACTTTTCTAAGGTACATATTCACTGAAAATTTAATTTAACATGTTTACAATATATATTTTTACCTATTCTCTTCAAAAAAATTCGACAAAACTTAAAAATGACGATTATGATAATTGTCACTTTTCCAAGGTACATATTCACTGAAAATTTAATTTAACATGTTTACAATATATATTTTTACCTATTTGCTTCAAAAAAATTCGAAAAAACTTAAAAATGACGATTATGACAATTGTCACTTTTCTAAGGTACATATTCACTGAAAATTTAATTTAACATGTTTACAATACATATTTTTACCTATTTGCTTCAAAAAAACTTAAAGATGACGATTATGACAATTGTCACTTTTCTATGGTACATATTCACTGAAAATTTAATTTAACATGTTCACAACATATATTTTTACCAAAAAACTTAAAAATGACGATTATGACAATTGTCATTTTTCTAAGGTACATATTCACTGAAAATTTAATTTAACATGTTTACAATATATATTTTTACCTATTTGCTTCAAAAAAATTCGAAAAAACTTAAAGACGATTATGACAAATTTTTATGCAAGCCGACCCAGCAAGCCAACTCATCGGGTCAGCCCAATGGGTTGGCTCATCGGGTCGGCTAATGAGGCCCATTGGGTCGGGTCTGATGGTTCGCTCGGGTTTAAGTTCATTTTTTTGCTCAAACCTTGCTGGGTTTTCGGCCAAGCCAACCCGACCCAGCAATTTAACAACACTAGACATAGGTTCATAGGAAAAATTTATTGAAATTATCGCTTTATTTGAGCCAATTTTTAAATACAGCTTAAATATTTTATCCAGAAAAATATTATACAAGCTTGAAGATTATGTTCAAAAATGGCACAAAAGTTGAAAATCTGGCACAAAAGTTTGAAAATCTAATAGCAAAATCTTGAGGCTTAGATTATAATTTTCTGGGTAAAAATTGAGTTAGCCATTTTTAAAAATCGGCTCAAGTGGAGCAATTTTGCATCACTATTTTATGTATATTATACACACACTTTTTTCTTTTTTTCATACAAATATATATATACTTCAATCAGTTTATAAGTAAATAGGTGTGATATACTTTTATTTATATTTAAGAGTATTCAAAATAAAATTATTGGAATCAGAACAGTAAACAAGGTATTTATTAATTAAACATTTATAGGAATGTTGATCTCCATAGTCCAGATAATAGGCTCATTCAGGGTAGTTATAGTTACAATTTTCTCAATTTGTGGCAATTTGATTTCTTTAATATAGGTATTTCCATAATCTTGGGACGTGTTACTATCATAAGAATTTAATTTAAAATTATAACTATTAGAGGTACTGATCATTTTTCCAAATTCTAAAGTGTCATCCAAATTAAGATTCCATTTTAGACCTTGTGTAATTATTCCTTTGCATTTTCCAGCAAAATTAATTAATCCACAGGCTTCACCTTCAAAACCTGTATCAAGAATAATTTTATATATAAATTTAGGGGCTATCAACATGGCAATACTTTGAGGAGATACAAGATAAATCAAGGGTAAAGGATTTGGCTTTGAATAATGATTATCAATCTTGTTATTATAATCAATGAAATCTCTAAATGTTATGTATAATGTATTTATAGCAGCAATAACATGATCAAACCTGCCATTTAGTCCTCCTAACACAATAATTTCATAATAAATATCATTATTTTTGGTCTTTGCGAAATTAATTTTAGCATTAAATGGGAAAGAAATCTGAGAATCATCTAACCCATAAGACAAATATGATAAATTCCCACCTAAAATTTTCCCTATAACTCTTATTGTTTTTGTAAAATCTGTTTGATTTTGATCATTTATTTTAATAATATTTGTACCAAGATCATTAAATTTAGATAGCAATTGAATATCAGATGAATCCAAATCACCTGCAATCAAATCTGGAATAAATGGTTTCATGTTATTAGATAATTTAAGATTGATTTTTTCAATAATATTGATGGCTCCATCAGTTAAAGCAATATAATCAACTCCACTCCATAATTTTGTTATACAATGCTCAAAAAATTTATATTCATCACATAAGAGTTTAGAATCAATATTATTTTTTTGAAATATATCATTATTTAATATTAACAGTATTGATTTATTATATTGATTTTTGCTTTTCCCTAAAAATGATGACTGAAATATTTTTAACGGCTTAATTACCTTTTCTGGATAATCTAAATTAGCTTTCATAATATGTATACAACAAAAAAAACGGTAGAGGCTGCGTGCCCCCATTTGGGGGTAAATAGAAAATTATATTTAAAGCTGCGTGAACACAGGTAAAAAGAAAATTATAGGCTAGTACAAAAATTATATGTTTTTTTGCTACATGCCCCTGTTTGTAAAAACTATCCTTAATTTGTAACCAAACCGTTTTTTGTAAATTCAAACATTGTTTTTTTACAACTAACTGTTTTTTGTAAATTCTAACATTGTTTTAAAAACTAACTTTTTTTTTGTAAATTCAAACATTTTTTTTAAAAACTAACTGTTTTTTGTAAATTCTAACATTGTTTTTTAAAAACTAACCTTTTTTTTGTAAATTCGAACATTTTTTTTTAAAACTAACTGTTTTTTGTAAATTATCTAACATTGTTTTATTAAAATCAACCTTGTTTTTTGTAAATTCTTATTGTTTTAATTAAACCAATCTTGTTTTTTTATAATCAATGTTTTTTGTAAATTCATACATTGTTTTTAAAAAATATGATTTATTATTTTCAAATGTATTTTCTAAAAGAATATTTTAAAAAATATTTTTAGAAACAAATATCATTATCTCCTAGTGTTTAGAAAATATTATTCTAATGATATTTGAATTTGAATAAAAAAAAATTTTTTTAATTATTTTATAAAATTTTGCACCTACACCCATTTTATTGTTAAATAATATAATATATTGTGGCAAATATGAATAAATTAATATATATATAAATTATAAATATAAGCAAAATATATAATTTATATATTCATTACATTAAAGACAATTTATACACAATTAGTTTTTTTTAATATTCAATGGAAAATGAATGCTGTTTTTCAATTTTATCTTAAGCATTAATGATAATCTTGCAAAATTAAAAATTGCCTTTTCTATATTTGAAAGATTTGAATAGGCCATGGGTTTATTTTCTGGTAAAAAAAATATAAGTATTTTTAAAAATATATACTTTTTATATTTTCTTTGGATTCTTGTAAAATTCTATTTGCTAAATTAAAATAAGGTAATAAAAAAAATATATAAATACCTGAATTAATATAGCTAGTTATTATGAAATTGATAAATTCTGCCTGAGAATTAGGTTTTTTTATTAAATATTAAAAGTTATAAAAAAGAATTTATATGACTCAATTCTAGATATTATTTTATTTTAGTACTACCACATGGAACTAATATTAGGCCATTAAATCCTTTTAGTAATAGACCACTTTTATTATATTTAATTCTATTTTTTTATAAATTATATATCTTATAATAAAAAATGACCTTCAAAAAATATTTGTTTTATTGAGTCACTTCTAGATAATGCAATAATAAAGAACAGGGAAACTTTTTATGGGCTGATTTAGGTTATTTTGGCTATTTAAAAGGGTAAGATATAAAAAAAATTAAAGATGTTTTGGAAAATAAGGCAAGATTATAGGATTTGTGAATGAATTGATCAAAATGTAGGCCAAGTTTGCAAAACAATGAATATAAAAGATTTTCTAATAAGATTTAAGAATACTATCATTTTTATAAACTTTTGATAGTTTAATTTATGTGCTAAGAATAAAATTAGGATAAAGAAATATAGTTAAAATTGAATCAAAGGTGATATTATTAAATTCAAATAAAATATATAATTTAAAATATTTATTCCATAATTATATCAGAATTCACATTAAAATGAAAAGTTGTTTATTCTTTTTATTTGACTTATATAAAATATAAATTTCTCTTTTGATGGAAACAAAAGCTTAATGTTTTAATATATTTAAACTCTTTTTCTTCTACAATTTTTATCTGGCCCTTAAAAGGGCCTTTCGGTATTATATGGAGGTGTCAATATTATTGTTTATTTCCATTGTATACTTCTTGACTTTATTGTCGCTTGCTACATAGAAGCCTTATTTTGAATTTAATAAAATGATAATAAACATTATTTAATCTAAATAATTATTTTATTATAGTGTTTATGGTATTGATTTTTTATTTTAACTTAATTGAAATATTTTAACCAATAAGTATAAGAAGTAAAACAACTTAAGATTGAATTATAAAATTTATTTTAAATTGAAATCCAAAATGGGTAGATAATATTTAACTTAGTTCAATCAGTGAGATTTAAGCCAATAGTAGTAAGAGTAATAATAGCTGTTAAAAATAGAATTAAATAAAATTATTTGGAATAATTTGGAAGCCTAAATTATTTGAAGGAAAAAAATTTTATTAGTGAATTTTCATCTGTAAGCAAAATTTTAAAGTCTCAGGTTATTTCTACTGTTTTTGATAAAATACATGCAGAAAAAATAAAATCAATCTCTGAGTGATAATATATGAAATTAAATCAAACTGACTAATATATGTTATGATTCATTGGGAATTATTTTTATCTCATTTATGCATATTCTTATTATTTAAATAGACAACATATAATTGATAAAAATATTTGTTAAAGTATTGGATAATATTTGCTATCTTTATACCTGCAAATCATTAAATGATTCAAATTGAGCCCCAACCTATTAAATAGATTATAGCATATATATATAGATAAAAATTTTAGGTTAAAACTTTTAATAATTACATTTCAAATCAATAGTAAATATATTCTTAAAAATATTGTTATCTCTAAATTTATCTGACTTGTAGAAGTTATATTGTCTAAATCAAAATTGCTTTGATGCTCAACCATAAGAATCTAATATGATATAAACTTTTTAAAAAAATATTCATATTCAAATCTGCTATGAGAATTCACATTACAGTGAAACGAGTGTTAAAAATCAACTAACAATAAAAGGGGATAAATATAATAAAGTTTTATTTTAATTTAATACATATTGAAATTAAATATGGACAAGTAATTAATTAACAAGATTAATCGTTGTGTTTAATTATAAAAATAAAAAAATGTGTTAAACTTTTATTAATTTTTTAAATTTTTCTTAAATAAGTAAAAAAATATTTATTAATTTTTAAAATTTATCTTAAATATTAAAAAAAAATGTTTAATATAGAATCTTTATTATCCAATAGTAATATTAATTTTTCCAATTTAAATGAAAACTCCCAATCTTTGTCGAGAATTCAAAGACCAAAAAGAATACACAAATATTGGAATAAAGAAAAAATAGATATAGTTACTAAAATTTTATCAATGCCAGAAAGATAACAGATAAAAATTAAAAACATTGCAAAATACGTCGAAATGTCTACAGCATCAGTTCATAAATTTAGACGGGACACATTCCCAGATATAAATGGAGAACCTTTAAAAGAATATAATATTCAAAAAAGAGGAAGTAAAAAAAAAGATACTTCCATAATTGAAAGACTCATCATAAATTTATTGATGGATAATAATACTCTTACTATCCAGCAGATAATAGAAAATTTATCTCCTGGTAGTCCAAGAACGAAAACAACAATTAGCAAATATATAAAAAATATAGGTTGGTCGAAAAAAAGAGCTGGCAAGGAGCCTGATAGAAGAAATACTCCTGGGGCAATCAATATTCGTCAAATCTATTGAGTAAAGATCTTAAATACCCCAAGAGAAAAATTATATTTCTTAGATGAAACTGGAATAAACTTGCACGTTGTACCAATCTATGCCTGGGCACCATAAAATGTCCGTCCAGTAATAAAAATTCCATCCTCTAAGGGTAAAAATGTAAGCATACTTTGTACAATTGGAATTGGAGGGGTAATCCATTATAAAATAATCGAAGGAGCTTATAATGGGTTGTTATTCCGTGATTTTATGACAGAGCTTATCAGTGTCTTACCACCAGATGCAATTATTGTAATGGATAATGCATCTATCCATAGAAGCCATCTTATCGATGCATATAAAGATAGGATTGAATATCTACCAACATATTCACCTCAGCTAAATCCCATCGAAAATTTTTTTGGAGTCTTGAAAAATAAATATCGAGCAATAAACCCCCGCCTTAATTCAAGAGATGAAATTATTGGGAATATTATTCAGCTCTTACACGGATTTATTCCTATGACTTTACTAACTTTTACAATCACATGCAAAACTATTTGGAGTTGGGTTATCGCGGGCAACTGATTAATTAGGTAATCCTTTTAATTGATTTGTATTAATAATTATAATATTAACTCTTTTAATTTCTAAATAGGTACCATCATCAAATTCGTGGAACAAAAGAATATTTTGATAAATTATAATAATATTTTTTATGTATTAATTATTTTATCGAAGTTATTATAAAAATTTATAGTATTATCATATTTTTATCGAAATAAATTGGTGCAAAATTTCAAAATAGATTACATTTAAGAAATTCTAAAATATTTTCAAATATCAAAAAGTCTTTTTACAAAAAATGATTTAAAATTTTAGATTACAAAAATCTTACTTGATTGATAAAGTAGATCAAAAAAAAATTTCCATTTTTTATTACAAATTTATATTTACAACATAATTTCTTTTTATTAATTTAAAAACGATTAATCTTGTTAATTAATTGCTTGTCCATATTTAATTTCAACAGAGTTGTTAAAAGATCGAATCAAAAGATCGACGATCCTGGATTCGATCGCAAATTTGTCAATTTTACGAGATTTATGATTCTGACTTAAATTGAGGATCGAGATCATTTTGTTTAAAATTCGATCCCGATCTTTTTAAAAATTAATTTTTTACTTAAAAAGCAATAAATTAAATGAAAATTTTGAAAATTAAATTAAAATATTATTTTTTAAAAAAATATCTATCTTCATATTTTATCAATTTCCATTATCAACTTCCTATCCACCATTTATTTTAGATATAACGAGATTTAGAGCTATGTCCATTATAGATTTAATTGATGTAACAGCAGATGATATAAGTGAGAATGAGAATCTTTTACCATTTTTGAAATTATGTAAGTATTTTACTTTATGTGAAGTGGATGAAAGCAACTCTTATAATATAATCAGCACCAAATGCCGTCTATGTAAGAAGATTATCTCATCATCAAAAATATCATCATCCAATTTAAAAAGACATTTACAAGTATTTCTTTTAAAATTTTTTTATTTAATAATCTTAATGTCAACATGTTTAAATTTAATTTATTACATTCCTGAGTTGAGCAGGTCCTACAGAAATAGAATCTAATAGATACAGATTCTTTATAAAAAAAATTAATTTTTAAATACAGTATGTTATTTATATTATATATAATAATTAGGCATTTATTTTTTAATATTACTATAATTATATTAGTTTAATTTTCAATATAAGAGTATTTATAATAAATGGAAGTGTAATAATTAAGCCTTTATAATGTATTTTGACTTTCTTTAATATAATTAAAACATCCAGTTCAATGTTATTTGTATTGAACTTATCAATGTTTCACCAAAAGAAAAATAAATATCTATTTAAATCTATTTTTATTAGTATTATAGTTTCAGTTTGAGCTTGATTATATACCTCTTCTTGACAACATTTTTAGGGCTTTTTTTAATAATATATTTTGAATTGGAAGTATTTTTTGTATCATTTGACTCAATCCATAAGTTCTTAAATGCCAAAAAGCCTCATTATATTCATAGCTGGGTATGGGCTTAATTACATATTTTCTAGCGGGCCTGGGCCGGGCTTGGGTTCTTTGGAAATTTTTGAAATAGGGCTTGGGCCAAAATTTTTAAATTCAAATTTAGCTTATTTTAAGGATATTTAATAGGACAAATATAACAAATACAGCTTACATTTAAAATATAGAAATTTGAATTTTTATTTATCATATTGCTAAAATTCATTATGAATTTTTTCTCATTTTGGCCAATAAATTAGCATAAGTTATATTATATATAGTTTTATTTATTAATATTAAATAAAAAATTTTTTGTGAGTCATGAAATATTTTTTTTTGTTTGGAATTTTTTTTTTAATATTTTTTTTTAAAGTTTCGCCCAGTCATCATGAACATTATTATATAAATATTTTTAATATTTATTATGTAAAATAATTTAATATTTATAAAGTAAAAAATAATCATATATAAACTAAAAAAAAGTGGAAATTCATGATTATTATAATTATATTTTTTTTTATATATTGTTTTTTTTTTTGAAAATTCTTATTTCTTTAAAAAAAATAAAGACGAGATATTAATCCTTGTTGTGAAATTAATAAAAAAAAAAGGTAAAAAAAAAATAAAGACTTTGCGTTTTGAAATAATAAGAACTGCTAAGTTAAACGTTTCTGTGCATTGAAACTTTGTAAAGTTAAGTGTACATAAAATAATTTTATGGGCTTAGGCAGGGCTTGGGATATTTTTTAAATCTTATAGCGGGCTTGGGCCTAAATTTTTAAATTCAAATTTAGCTTATTTTAAGGATATTTATTAGAACAAATATAACAAATACAACTTACATTTAAAATATAGAAATTTGAATTTTTTCTCATTTTGGCCAATAAATTTGCATAAGTTAAGTGTACATAAAATAATTTTATGGGCTTGGGCAGGGCTTGGGATATTTTTTAAATCTTATAGCGGGCTTGGGCCTAAATTTTTAAATTCAAATTTAGCTTATTTTATAAGGATATTTAATAGGACAAATATAACAAATACAACTTACATTTAAATTATAGAAATTTGAATTTTTATTCATCATATTACTAAAATTCATTATGAATTTTTTCTCATTTTGGCCAATAAATTTGCATAAGTTAAGTGTACATAATTTTTTTTTACGATAAGCCTGGGCCAGGCTTGGTCCTAATAGGCCCATGATGGTCTCTAATTCATAATAGGAAAATACTTTATCAAAATCTTTAGCCCACAACATCTTGGGCAACTTTTAATAATGTATTGTAAACTTAAATTTTTAAGATAACCTACCCCTTTTAACCACTAATAAAACATATTTTAATATGTTTAACAAAATTTGTTGAAGCCTTAATCCATAGTTCTTAAATGCCAAAAAGGCTAATTATATTCATATATAGGAAAATATTTTATCAAAATCTTTACCCATATCATCTTGGGCAACTTTTAATAATGATAGACAAAGACAATATTGTAAACTTAAAATTTAAGATAACCTATATGAACCTTTTTTAACCATGTATAAATTAAATAATATACTTTAATATGTTTAACAAAATTTGTGTTGAACCCTTTATCATTTTTTTGTTAATATAGGTTTTACATTCAGCCTGTACATTCTCTTTTTTAACTTTAAATTTCCATATAAAATTTTAAAAATGAAATTTGATTCAAGAGAAGTTATTTACATCCAACTTTGATACATACTATTTTTTTCTTTTATAAAGAAAAAGCACAGTGAATTTAAAAATGAGATTACCAAACACCTCAACGAATTCTCTACACAAAAAAATATATCGCAGCAAAACCAAAGTGGTTCTGGTAGCAAATCCAGACAATCTAAATTAAATTTTAACAATCTAAACATTCCAGCTGTTTCGCAAAAAACAGCAGATAAAGTTATCATGGATTTTATTATTGACACCTTCCAACCACTGTCTCTGGTTGATGATCCTTCATTTGAAAAAATGATTAAAACTTTTTCTCCTGCGACAAAAATTATTTGTCGCCAAACACTGGGCAACAGGATATCTGCTTCCTTTAAAGATATGACGACAAATCTTATAAGAGATTTGTCTGAAGTTTCTTATGTATGCACCACTGCTGATTGTTGGAGTGGTCATCGAAGGTATATTATATTTATATAAATTTTATAATGTTTATTTTATTAGGGCTTTTATTGGACTTACTGCACATTGGCTGGATCCTTTAACCATCAAGAGAAGGTCAGCCGCTTTGGCACTGAGGAGGATAATTGGGAGGCAAACATATAATGTTTTGGCCAACGAAATCATGGGTATCCACAAGTTCTATAAAATTCATAATAAGGTGGTGAGGATGGTGACTGACAATGGAACCAACTTTGTCAAGGCATTTAAGTAATATTTATATTTAGCAAAAAATATTTAAATAAATTTATTTTTCCTAGAGTTTTTGGAGAAAATGAAGAAGAGAGTAATGAGGATATGGAATTGATAAATTTGGATGACATATTATCCGTTGATGACCCAATTATTTCTACTATCAGCCTACCAAAACATCAACGTTGTTGTTGCCACAATCTTAACCTTATTGCAACAACAGATGCGGAGATGGCAGATAGTGACCTTAATTACAAACGAATATCTCGATCAACTTTTGCAAAATGTTTTGCTTTAGTTAATAAGCAAAATATGTCGTCAAAAATGGCGGATATTTTGTTGGAGAACTTAGGGAGATATTTAATACTCCTAACAAAACAAGATGGAATTCTTACTATCAATCCATGAAATTAATAGATAGAATGCTTTCTGAAAGGTTTTCAGAAGTGGAACAAGTATTTGACCAAATTGGATTTACAATGTTCAGGCAAGATGAATGTTTTTTTGTTAAAGAATATGCAAAAGTAATACAATAATATTTTCTAAATAAATTTAAATTTTATAGGTTATGGAACCTTTGGCTATCTTTAAAAATCTTGGAACGGAAGGATAATATGGGGCAGGGATATCTAACTCCCGTTCTATCGATATTAATAGATAACGAAGTTTAGCTGCCTGCGGTATTGCCAGCCCCTTGTAGATAGTGTTTTAAGAGGTATTGATAAAAGGTAATATTTTTTTATGCAATTATTTTATATTATCAGATATCTGCAAAATATATTAAAAAATTGCAAAGATCTGGCAAATTTAGTAAAATATTTTTTTAACAGGCCAGTTCTACTAAACCTTTGATATCTAGTAAAATATTAATGGGCCTTTGAGGACATTAAAAATTTATTATATTATTTGAATTTTAAGCTAATATTTTGACTAATATTCTTTGTAAATAAATTACAATGTTAATTTCTTTGTATATTAAGTATTAAGCTTACATTTAATTTAATCAATATTTATGATATGACCCAAATATTAATAAATACCATACAGATGATGTGCCAGACTTGACTGTAAAATTTAAAAGGGTTAAGTTATGCAGATACTTGATTTGATTTATATGAAATGAACACTTATTTAATAATAAATTAATTATCATTTCATAATATAGATTTCCTTCACTGTATGAAGACAGTAATATTTTGGCAGCCATGATTCACCCTAAATTTAAACTCAATTGGCCCTATATTAATCTGCCACAAAATATGATGGTAAAAGAACGATTAATTGCTCATTTGAAAAATATTCAGGAACAACCATCTGTGGATACCTCAAATGAATGTATGGATGACATTGATGCCTTTTTTGGGAAAAATACTGTACAAAATGGTTGTTCCGTTAAACTTTTTTTTTTATTCAAATGATGATTCCATGAATATTTTTAATACTTATATTAATTTTAAAAAAATATTTATTGAATATAATACACCTTTGCCATCAAGCGCTCCTGTGGAGCGCTTGTTTAGTAAAGCTAAACATGTTCTAAATGAAAGACGCGGATGTTTAAATGATGATAATTTAGAAAAAATTTTATTATTAAAAGCTAATTTTAATTATAAATAAATATATTATAATTGTTATACATTTAGCATATTTATTTTTCAATTACAATAAATTTCTATCATATTTAATTTATTTTTATATTAGTTAATTTTGCATCGGTTATATTATATTATTATTCAATAACAATAAATTTATACCATATATTAGTTAATTTTGCATCGGTCAGAAATTTCCTTCAGAAATTTAAATAGAAAAAAAGGTCGATCCTGGATTTCGATCATCTTTTTTTGAAAAGATCGAGATCGGGATTCGATCGTTTTAAAAAGATCGATTAACAAGCCTGAATTTCAATATGTATTAAATTAAAATAAAACTTTATTATATTTATTCCAATGATATATATAACATAGATTGGCGATTCATTCATTAAATGCATGATAAAAATGTCCTCACATTGCAATCAGCTGTAGAGCCATTTTGTAGTTTGGATATCCATTATTTGTCAGCATGAAATATTAATACATATATAATATTGCCAAAACGAGTCTCAAAAAAATTTCAAAAATATATTTCCATTCATCTATCCATCCCAAATGGCGAAGATTTTCCGGTTCATCTTTTGGAAGAATATAACCTAACAAATGAAATGGAATTTTGATGTCTATGGATTCAAATATTCTTAACTAATTCCTTATCATGAATATAACTATTCAAGATTAAAAAACAAATAAGAAATATATGTCTTTATATTATTAATTTATAAATTACAATTACAATATCGGAAAGGGTAAATTCCACTCATTTAGTTAAACTACAACTGGGTACAAGGTTTGTTGGTATCCTTGAGAAAAAAAATCGGCATAATTTTATGAAGGGTGGGCCTTCATAAAATTCACGTTCGCTCATTTTGGGCAGGTCTATGACCAACGTGCTAGATAAGATAAGAAGAAGTCTACAAAGATAATTTATTTTGAAAAGTTTTCATTTATGATATATTATTTTTCTTATATTCTTAAATATTATGGTAAGATTATAATTTGTTTTAATTTCTTAGTCTAGTGAATTTTTATGAACGTAGATTAGCTGATTATACCTAAAAAAAATGATTCTAAGACTAACCCTTCTTTTAATTTTTTAAAATATAGTTTAACATAATTCAGTATGGACTTATAAATCATATGTTAATGCATTTTAGGATACATACAAAACATGTCTTTTAATATCACTATCATTTATTATTTTATTTAGATAATGGGAGTGTGCTGTGTTCAAAATTGTAATAAAACAAATAAAATAGTAAACAATTTCCATATATCTTATCACAAGTTTATTATTTTTAATTAATATATAATTATATCAAAAATAGATGTTAACATTATCAAACATATAGCCAATCTAGTACCCATACCCACCACTTCATCTTATAATTTTAGAAACACAAACCCACATATCCTGAAATTATCTTTATATTTAGATAATGTATCAATTTATATATTGGGATATATTGTACACCAACTTATTAAAGAAAAAAAGCTACGTTGTGATGTTTGCATTACAGCAATGGTTAGTGATTCTTATAATGATAATAATATCAATAATATGCTAATAAATATTAAAAATAATGGGGGGGGGGTGGTGATACCTTCTACTAGTATGTCCAAACTATGCAGAATATGTGAAAGTTCATTTAGAACTTATCAAAATGAAATCACACATAAAAATATTTTTAAAAAAATGGAAGTATTAATTTTTTCCAAAATAATAGATACAAATATTTAAAAGAAATGAATTTAATATTTTTTTAATAGGCACAAATCTCTTTATTGATTTTTGTGATCATATCATTGAACATGAAATTGGGTACAGCCATTTTCAAATTCTTGTAAAATTAATTGTTCAAAAGTAACCAATTATTAGATTTTATACTATTTTTTTTTTATCATTTTGCTGACTTAAGAAACCAGGAATTGAGAACTGGTATGCGACAGAATCTTACGAAAGCAATTTAATTTAATAATCAATAAGTCATATATAATAATATATATATCTTCTTTTATATTTTAAAAATTATATTGTATAAGGAATGACCAGATATTAGGCATATTATAAAAATTATGATCTAATACATTATCTATGCTAATTAATTATATTAATTTTTTTAGGTGATGAGAAAATGTACTCAAAAATAATATGAAAGTGAATTGTTGCAATATCTTTTCCTTTTCAAGGCCTATACATTTGTATCATTATATACTTATTAAATATACTTTAAATAAATGATTTATATAATATAATTTATACTCAAGCAAAAAATGATATTATTACATTATGTATTTATTGAAAAAAAATAAAAGATATTTTTTTATTTGTCATTTATAATTATAATGAAATAATCAAAACAAAATAAATGATCAACTATGAAGAGAATCTTAATAGTATATACTTTTGGAGTTATCTTTAGTTCTTCCTTTATAATAAAATTAATAATACAAAATAAAAAAATTAACAGCACCTATTTCTCTTATTAGTAACAAAATTTGTAGATTTTATTTAATTTTATCTATACAGGTCTATTTTTTACATAAACTTATGAGTGATTATTGTTTTAAGTTATAAGCCACTATATTACATAAAATTAAAAGTACCAGCTACTACAATAAATATAGGTGCATCTATGATATTTATTATTCTTATCTTATCTAGCACGTTGGTCATAGACCTGCCCAAAATGAGCGAACGTGAATTTTTTGAAGGCCCACCTTTTATAAAATTATGCCGATTTTTTTTCTCAGGGATACCAACAAACCTTGTACCCAGTTGTAGTTTAACTAAATGAGTGGAACTTACCCTTTCCGATATTGTAATTGTAATTTAATAATTAATAATATAAAGACATATATATCTTATCTGTTTTTTAGTCTTGAATAATTATATTCATGATGAGGAGCGAATTAAGAATATTTGAATCCATAGACATCAAAATTCCATTTCATTTGTTAGGTTATATTCTTCCAAAAGATGAACCGGAAAATCTTCGCCATTTGGGATGGATAGATCTATTTTTAGGCATCGATATTTATTATTAAGACAGGAATCATAAAAGATTATATATGTAAAATATAAAAATAATATATTTATTATTTTTAATTAAAAGATTCTATAAATGAACAACATGTGTGTAACAAGATTTTTATTGAAATATCAAGTGAATTTGATAAAACTATAAAAGCTAATATTCTTGGAAATGAGGGGTGGTATTGTGGCTTTTTATATATGTATATCTTGAGTCTTATATTTTAGATTACTAATAAAATGAATTGAAGAACTTGCTAAAATCATCAGTTGAGGTGAGAATTTATTTTGTATTGATATAGATAATTTAAAAATAATGATCGAGGCATTTGATCCATATGGGTTAAAGGAATCTGGGTGGTAAGGTTTATTGGAGATTATATGGTGGATTTTTTAAGGGTGTAATAGATAGAGGTATGTGTCGTATTCGTAAATACGTTTACATTATATATTTTTTTTTACATTAGATATAATTGTAGTTATAAATATATATATATTATAACACGTCACTCATAATCACGTGTTTTTTTTATGTAATTTTGTAGTTATATTTGATATCATTTTATTTTTTTTATAAAATGATATTTTTATTGATATTATCGAAAATAAATTTGTTTTTCTTTTAGAAGTGTTGGGTTAGTCTCTATGATTTGTTTTTATTTTAGAAGCATTGAGTTAGTTTCAAGGATTTGTTTAGGTAGATTTTGTTTTAGTTTGTGTGTTAAGGTTTTTTTTAGTGGTGCCTTGTGACGCTGATAGTTTTCTAGGAGTTATTCGGTTTAGAAGGTAAAACAAAAATTTTTAATTATATAATTTTCTTAAACTTTTTTGACTGCGCATTTGTACTAACCATTATACGATTTTAATAGTGAAGTTTTTATTTAAGGTGCTGAATTAATATTTTCTACAAGTATTTAAAGTGTTTGTAATTGAGTATTAGTATTGACTAAAAGATTCATGACCAAAGGTTCATTTTTTTAGGTATCATGATGATTACAGTGTGGCTGCTAAGATTTCAATATATACGAATTTGGGTCTTAAAGTTTTGTATAAAAAGTTTGATGAGTTGGATTTAATTAAACAGAGAATGATAATTGGAATAATGGTAATAATTTATATATTGGGGATTTTGGCGAAATATTTGGTAAAAAGGGGTACCGCGGTACTGGCAGGAATGTATTGCAGTTGGAAGAAGGACACTGCGGTGTCAGATGTTTATAAAAAAAATGGAGGAAACGTATTTTAATTTAATATCGGATATTTATGGGAAGAAAATAGCAGACTTGGAAAGTAATCTAAAAGATGTTTTAGAGGAAATAAAGGCTGGAAATGTTGGGGAAAGGTCCGATAGGATCTTCTTGGAAATGAAAGGAATGAAAGAAGCCATCAATGCGTTGATAAAGGAGAGTAAAAATCCGGTTAAGAGCCAGGTGGGTGATAGAAATATTAATCAGAGATTTAATGATTACGAGGAAAATAAGGAATTTTCGAGAAATAAAAGATTTGTGGAAATGATTATTTGCCATCGTTGCGGATGGAGAGGACATAAAAGAAATACCTGCGTAGTCCCAGAGCAAAGGTTTAAAGATGGATTTCCGTTAAAGAGACCTGAAATAGGAAATGCTAATGTAAAAATGGTTAGTTTAAATGGGGCCAGATTATGTTTTAAATGTAAAAGGCCGGGACATGTAGCTGTGGACTGCATGGAGGTATCTCAAAATTCATGTTGACTATATGATTGCAGAGTGAATCATATAGGAGTCGGGGCTCCGAGAGTTCGGAATAATTTGCATAATAAAACATTTAATATTATTAGTCGAAATGAGGGGAATGATAGAATTAAAATAAGAAATCATTCTTGTAATTTCTCTGGGAGGGAGGTTAGTCGATTTAGGTGGGAACAATATCCGAGGAATATTGTCCGTTATTCTCTTAGAAGGGATGTTAAGAATTTTATTTGGGAAAGATGTCCCCCAAATCTTGTTAAAAGAAATGTAATTGTCAGTAATAAAAATTTAAATTCCGAGGTGAATTTAGGGGGCAATGTGAATGCCAATTTTTAGATAAAATAAAGCTGATTCTCCGATTAAAACATATAATATTTTAATGACGGAGATCTTAAATGGACAGTGTTTGTGTCCTAAGGTTAATTTGAAGATGACAATAAAAATATATATATGTTATTTGATACGGGAGCTAGCATTTCGATTATGTCTAGCGAAAATTTCTATAAGTATTGGCCAGGAAAAACACTTGAGAGGGAGTCTATGTGTGTCAGACAATTTGATGGGTCTGAAATTGGGGTTTTAGGAAAAAGTAAATTGGGGGTGCATTTTAACGATACTATGTTTTTTCTTGATTTATGGGTAGTAAAGGAAAATGTTGAAACTATTATGGGTTGGGATTGGATTACTAAGCTAAGTCCTCCTAATAATTTTTGGAATATTTTTAATATTAGTGATAATGTAATAATGGATGTTGGAGAGAATGGAAATTTGGATAATACCGATAATAAAATTTGTGAAATTTCGGAGGAGATGATGGAGAAATCGAGTAAGTTGGATTTTAATGATGAGGGAAATGAGAAGCAAATTATGGTCGGGGAAAAAGAGGATTGGAGTAAAGTTAATCAAGCTATTCCTATTCTAGTGAGGCAGTTTGGCATCATTTTTGATGAAAAATTAGGTTGTTTAAATGATTATCAAGTTGATGTTCAACTTAGGGAGGGTTTTTCACCGATCTTTTTGGCTTGTCGGCGAGTTCCTTTCGAATGGAGGAAGGAGATCGATGAGGAATTAGATAGATGGGTGAAAGACGGCATTATTATTCCTGTGGGATATAGCGAATGGGCAACCGCGTTAGTGCCAGTTAAAAAGGAAAATGGTAAATTAAGACTTTGTGCGGATTTCAGGGTCACAGTAAATCGATGGGTGGTGGAGGTTAAATATCCATTGCCTAGGATTGAGGAGATTTTGGCTCAGTTGAAGGGTGCGAAATATTTTTCCAAGGTGGATTTTTCGTCGGCGTATTTGCAGTTACCTTTGAGAAAGGAAATCCGTAAATTATTGACGATAACGACTCCAAAGGGATTGTTCACGTTTTGTAGATTACCATTTGGGTTGAGCGTATCTGCTCCCATTTTTCAACGGATCATGGCGTCAGTTTTTCAAGGATTAGAAGGAGTATTTTATTATATGGATGATGTGTTAATTACTGGCGTGACGCCGGAGCAGCATAATCAACGTTTGGAGGAAGTGTTTAGGAGAATTCGTGATAAAGGCTTGAGAGCTAGTAAGGAGAAAAGTGTTCTGGGGGTAATGGAGGTTGAATATTTGGGTCATCGAATTAATGGAATTGAGGTGAAACCTTTGGATAAAAATTTGAAGAATATATCGAACATGAAACGGCCTGACACTAAGGCTGAGTTGCAGTCTTTTTTGGGTATGGTCAATTATTACCACAGGTTCGTGGAAGATTTTGCAAAGGTTGCGGCGCCGTTGTATGATTTATTGAAAAAGGGAATTCATTTTGAGTGGAAGGATGTACAGCAGATTGCTTTTGAAATTTTAAAGGAAAAAATTGGAAAAGAGGTGGTTTTGGTGTGTTTTGATAATGAATTGGAAATTGTCTTGGCGGTAGATGCTTCGAATAAAGGAGTTGGTGGGGCGTTATTACAGGTAATAGAGGGCTTGGAGAGACCCATATTGTTTTTCTCGCGTGTTTTTCGTGAGGTAGAGACCAGGTATTCTGTGATTGAACAGGAGGCCCTGGCTGTGATTTTCGGGTTGACAAAATGTCGTGAATATTTGATTGGTAAAAAATTTGTAATTTTTACTGATCACAAGCCGTTAATTCACTTATTTCTGAAAAACAATCGGGAGTTAATGATGTCTCCCCGGTTACAACGTTGGTTGTTGTTGGTGGGCAGCTTTAATGTGGAAATCCGATATCGTTGCCGCAAAGAGAATTGTTTGCCTGATAGTTTGTCTCGATTAGGATTAAATGAAGGAAATGATGAAGGGAACAAGGATAAGGTTCGAAACAGTGAAAAGGCCCTGGTTTGTTCGCTTTCGCATATGCTCAAAGGGGGTCCTACCAATTGGGAGGATCTTAAGTTGAGTACAATGAGAGATAGAGAAATGACTAGGATAAAGTTATGTGTAATGGGGAAAAAGCCTTGGGAAGAGGATTGTAAAGTTTTTAAAAAGGTGGAAGAGGAATTGTCTGTGGTGAATGATTGTTTAATGAGGGGTAATCGTGCCGGAATTCCGTTCAAATTACGGGGTAAAATTTTAAATTTGTTACATGCTGGACAACAAGATCAAGGGAAGATGAAATCGTGGGCCCGTGAATATGTTTGGTGGCCGGGTATGGGAAAAGATATTGAAAATATCACAAGGAAATGTGAGCCGTGTAATTCGTGCGCGGCGATGCCCCGAAAGAAGGTAGGTCAGATATCGCCCAGGTCGAGAAAACCGTGGGAACACTAACATGTTGATTTTTTCGATTTAGATAAAAGGTCGTATTTTTTAGTGGTAGATTCGTATTCGAAATGGATAGAGTACGAGGAGGTACATAGATATACCACGAAAATTGTTGTAAGAAAATTGAGGGCATTAATGGCCAAGTTCGGATTGCCGGATACCAGTGTATCTTATGGTGGACCTGCCTTTGTTAGCGAAAATTTCAAGCAGTTTTGTAAAGAGTCTAGGATTCGACACATTTTGACCCCGCCCTATCATCCCAGCTCAAATGTTCAAGCTGAGAGGATGGTATCAATTGTTAAGAATTGGATAAGGAAAGCCGGCAATCAAGGGAATGGGACGTATTTGGCCCAGTTGTATTACCTCAATTCCAGTAATAAGGAGGGAGTGACACCTGCTGAATTGTTTTTGGGCCGGAGGACTAGGGTTCCCCTAGATTTTCTAAGGGCCGAGAGTCACTAGAAGGGAGTTTTGGAGGACCGAAAGATTAGGTTTGAAGTTGGAGAAAAAGTATGAACTCGTTTGTTTGACGGAAGGGGCAAGAAATGGGCCAAGGGCATTGTTGGGGTAAACAGAGGTTCAAAGTTGAACTTGATTCAATTAGAAATGGGGGGCAAATTTATGCGCCACAATGATCATATACGACCGCGGGAGTAAATCTGAGGTACCTCATATGATAATATAAATATGAAAATGAAAATATATATATAAATAAAATGAAGGTGCATCCCGAAGGATTAGACTCGTTTCCGAGCAAATATATAATGTGTAAATGATGGTTTGGGTAATGTATTGTATTTGGGAATGGGAAGTAAAGGATCAAATAGGAGAGGCTTAAAGTGATACGTATATATATTTATGTAAAAATTAAGCATAAAAGGGAAATTAAATGTAAATGAACTGTTGGTAATTTTTTTTGTTTTGATGTATTTAGTATTGGTTTAAATTATTTCATGTTTTGTAATGGGAAAGGTTGATATTCATTGAGGTTACCAGTTGTTAGCTATAAATAAAGGTTGAAAAATGGAAAATGGTAGTATGTTATTTTGTTAATGGATAAAGGGGAGTCATATAGGGAGTAGAGAAATTGATTTGATATCTGATTTGATATTTTAATTACTTATCGGCAAGCTTGTTATGTTTTCTTGTAAAAAAAAGAAAGTATATATATATTTTAATGTTATGAGATGGAAGGTTTATGGTAAAGAGAAGATAAAAACATTTGTTAATATGTTGTTGTGAGTTATAAGAGAGATATTGATTTTCTGATTTCGGCATATTTTGTTTTTGTTAAAAAGTATTGTAAAGGGAGTGAAGGGTGTAGATGCCTGGTTGAGGTTATAATTATAAATGTTGTAATTATAAACTTTAATTGGTACAGTTGTTTTTTTTTTCGAAAATTGTTATAAGTACATTTATATTATTTATGTTGAAAGGGGTAAATTAATATTTTATTTTATATTTTTTTTTGTTGTCTCGTTTGGAAAGTTTAAATTAAAAAATTAATTTAAAACCTTTATTTTGTAAAATTTGAATTAAAAAAAAATAATTTAAAGACTTTAATTGATAAAGTTTTTTGGAAGTGGTGTATAAACACATTTATATTCTTTATATTGAAAGGGGTAAGTTAATATTATTTTATGTCATATTTTTTTTTGTCTCGGTTGTAAAGTTTAAAAAAAAAAATAATTTAAAGACTTTAATTGATAAAGTTTTGTTTTGGAAGTTGTGTATGAACACATTTATCTTCTTTATATTGAAAGGGTAGGTTAATATTTTATGTTATTTTTTTTTGTCTCGTTTAGAGAGCTAAATTAGAAAATTAATTTAAAAACTTTAATTGATAAAGTTTTGTTTGGAAGTTGTGTGTAAAAACATTTATATTATTAAAAGGGTAAGGTAATATTTTATTTTATATTTTTTTTTCTTTTCCCTCGTTTGTAGAATTTATATTAGGAAATTAATATTCAAGATGGAGACGCTATCCCGGCTCATTGACATGGGAGATTTTTATTTACAGGTTACCCTTATAAAGAAAAACAAAGGGATGACGCTAGCAACGGGTTCCGCTAATGAGAATCAGCCCCCGATTCAGGAGACGCGACGACGTAGATGTTTTAATTGTCAAGAGGTGGGACATTTACGGCACCAGTGTTCTCGGCTATCGCGGGAGACGCGCGTCCCCTGGAGGCCATATCTGAAAATCGTATCTATCAAGGACAGAAGCGGGGACATCACGATTCAGAGGGAAGACAACCAACACTCCCTCAGGGTTGGATAAGGAGATGGAGAGACCTTCCGTGGATATTCGTCGTGTGGATGTTCGGGATCAGTTCTTGAATGGAGTCCGAGGTACAGATGGAGGAGATATTTTGCAAAGATTAGTGACCAATACACTAACAGTTGATGCTTCGCAAATGGCACGAGCTGATGATTTCTGGGTGAATCCAATGTCTATTTAAGAAGATTATTCTTTAAATAATGTCGTAAGTTTTTTTTTGTAGATATTTTTTTTTCCGCGTTTTTGTTTTATATCTAACGATATGCCACGATCCCATAAAGGGGTGGCATGTCGTATTCGTAAATACGTTTACATTATATATTTTTTTTTACATTAGATATAATTGTAGTTATAAATATATATAGTATATATTATAACACGTCACTCATAATCACGTGTTTTTTTTATGTAATTTTGTAGTTATATTTGATATAATTTTATTTTTTTTATAAAATGATATTATTATTGATATTATCGAAAATAAATTTGTTTTTCTTTTAGAAGTGTTGGGTTAGTTTCTAGGATTTGTTTTTATTTTAGAAGCGTTGAGTTAGTTTCAAGGATTTGTTTAGGTAGATTTTGTTTTAGTTTGTGTGTTAAGGTTTTTTTTAGTATGGAATATTTTGCATGAAGGGTGGTATTGTGGCTTTTTAAATATGTATATCTTGAGTCTTATATTTTAGATTACTAATAAAATGAATTGAAGAACTTGCTAAAATCATCAGTTGAGGTGAGAATTTATTTTGTATTGATATAGAGAATTTAAAAATATAATAATAATAATGATGAGGCATTTGATCAACGTTCAAGCTACAAAATGGCGCTACAGCTAATTGCAATGTGAGGACGTTTTTAATGAATGAATCGCCAATCTATGTTATATATATCATTGATTTATTCCCTTTTATTGTTAGTTGATTTTTAACACTCGTTTCACTGTATAATGAAAAGTTGTTTATTTCTTTTTTGAATATAAAAAATATAAATTTTTCTTTGGATCAAAACAAAAGCTACATTTTAAAACAAAAAAATTTTCAAATTTTTTACTTTTATCATCTTATACCTATTTTCTTCTACAAATTTTAAATGGCCCTTAAAAGAGCCTTTGGGTATTTAATATAAATCAGATTCCTTGGCAAAAAGAGAATACTTTATAACAATTTGTTAATCGTGTCAATATTATTGTTTGTGTATACTTCTTGTCTTTATTGTCGCTTGCTAAATAGAAGCCTTATTTTGAATATAATAAAATGATAATATACAATGTTTAATCTAAAAAATTATTTTATTATTATTGTATTGATTTTTTATCTTAACTTTTTAACTAATAAGTATAAGAAGTGCATTTTTTAATAAATAAAGAATAAATGCATAATATTATTCTTTATGAGCTTATACAACTTAAGATTGAATTATAAAATAAGAAATATAATAAAATTTATTTTAAAATTCAAAATGGGTAGATGATATTTAACTTGTTTCAGTCACCCAGAATTGAGCTAATCGCCGCGATTTTTTCAAAACACAAATCATTTTGTGTTTATCGCGAGATTTTGAAATAGTGCTTCGTTAAATACAGATTTTGGTGAATTTAGCTCAAAATTTTATTTAGCACTAAATTTAAAATAAAATGAATTCAATGGCAACATTTTTCGAAGATACAATAACAAATAATAATCAAGTTAAAATTATGATTATGATTTAAATTTAATTTTTTTTTATAAAATAGATAAATCTTCATTTTTTCTTTCAGTTAAAAAATATGAGTGCTTATATAATAAGCACCATCATTTATATAAAAATAATATTTACAAGAACAAAGTTTGGGGATTATTAGCTCAAGAGTATAAGACGAATGGTAATAATTATGCATACATATTATATTTATAAATTTTTTTAGTAACATCTCTCAAATCTCTCTGGAAAAATTTGAGAGATTGTTTGATAAAAGAGACAAAAGTTAGTTAAATTGAAAAGTGGGTCAGAGGCTGACCATCAAATCACCTGGCTTTTCTATCAGGATATGCTATTCATGGTAGAAACCATAACACCTAGGTCTCAAAAGTCCTCTTTAGATAAAGAGGACTCTAGTTCTATAGAGGTTCGTGATATTTTTAATGAAATGACAGGGGAGAGAGATGATTGTAAAATATAGCATTTTAATTGAAAATATATTTATTATTTAGGTGATTTCATTGATACTGACAATACATCAGATGTTACAGTTATTAATAAAGATTCTGTAACACTAAATCTTAATGATTCTGGTAATTAATATTCTCTAAAAACTTATATTATTTATATTTAAGAATCTATACCCTGTGTTGGATCACCTAGTTCATATTATAAATATCCTAAGAGAAAGAACAATAATATGGGTAATTTATATTTTTTAATTTTTTGATAAATTTTAAATAGATGAATATAGGGACCTAATTAAATTTGAAAAAGAAAAATCATTATTAACATTTGAATTGCTTAAAAATAAATCAACTGAATATGGAATATGTCTAATGTTGAAAGAAAAATTAGATGATTGTACAAAACAGGAAAAAAAAGAATTAACAACTAGAATATTTGATGTTATAAAAGATTTTAATTGAATAAAATTATTTTGTATATATTTATTTTATTTGATTTTTTATGTATTTATTTTATTTGAAATAAATAATTTGTGAAATACATTGAATGATATAATTATTCCCAAAAGTCCTATATTAATTAAGCTTGTGAGTTTGGTAATCAATAATATCTAAAAATATATTATTTATAATGAAGGATCTTCTGTTGAATCTGGTAGTTAATATTATAAATGTCCTAAGAGAAAGTTTAATGACACTGGTAATTTATGTTTATTTGCTTTATAAAAATATTTTAAATAGATGAATTTAGAACATCTATATAACTTTTTTAGTGACATATTCCTACAAATATATTTAATGAGTTTAGACTATATTAATAATAACTTTATTTTTATTATAATATATATAAAATACAAAACAAGATATTTATATAAAATATAAAACAAGATTTTTATATAAAATACAAAATAAATATCTATAATATGGGATTTTTATATAAATATAAGCATAATAAATTTCTATTAAACTTTGCAATATTTGTTGCTGATTTAACTGATTGTGGTTTAAATAAATTTTCAGGAGGTGATTTTATTTTAGGA